AGCTTATTTTATACGTAATAGTTTGCACTTCTTAATCCCCTCCCCCTAGATTCCCTCCCCACCCCCTGTCCCCACTGGTAACCACTAGTTTGTTCTCTATATCTGTGAGTCTGCTTTCTTTAAAAATAATCAATAGTTGTCTTTTTTAGATTCCACATATGAGTGATATCATACCGTATTTGTCTTTCTCTGACTTATTTCACTTAGCATAATGCCCTCCAACTCCATCCATGTTGCTGCAAATGGCAAAATTTCATTCTTTTTTTTATCAGCCTGCTTTATGTTTAAGGCCAGTAAGTTTCATCTAACTTGGAGGACGGTCTTCAAGCAAAAGGAAAGTACCTGGTTACAAAATGCTGTATTTAGGGCACTCGTATCCCCCAAAGAGGACTTTTCTGGGGACTTCTACCAATACATGGGTTCACACTTTGGCACTATTACTTCCTACCCATGTGATCTTAAGCAAATTTGCCTTGGTAAACTTATTTTCTCTTCTGTAAAGTGAAGATAGTAATTGTGTCTACTTCAAAGACTTTCTGTGAAAATTAAGTGCATAAAATTAACTTATTAAATTTATACATTTAATTATAAATTAAATGTATATGCATATAAAGCACTTAGCACCACACTTGGACACGCAGGAAGCACTCGGTGAATATTCACTACTACTGTTACTATTTTGCACTGTGATGCTGCCGTCAGTCGGTCAGTCGGTGTAGTGGCTGCAGAGGGTCAGGACCAGGGCAGAAAGCAGCTTCTTGGAATTCTTCCAGCAGCCCAGTTTGTCGATACCCTGTTAAATTAAGACCCATTAATTCATTGTGAAAACAAGCCTTCAAAAGGGCCTGGAATTTGCAGCTCCTTGTCCTGAATTAATGCTGCACAGCACTGCCTTATTTTAAGAGTAATAAATGCTAACTCAAGGGTGGAGAAAAGCTTGGCTGCTGTGTTCACTGGATGGCCAAGCTGGTGGCTCCTGGTGTCATCCGTTCGCTGGCTGGAAGCGGCCACGTTTTCCCGGCAGTGAGTCAGCCCAAGACCACGGCCCCCAGCACACACTGTGGATGTGAAGTGGGTATAGATGCCTTGCCAGTGGTGAACAGGTGGTGAAGACAAGGCTGGTGCCTGATCGAGCTGGATCTGTGCTGTTGCAGGGAATGTACTCGGCAGCTCTGTGAGGATGCAGAGGGAGTGCTGGGGAGGGCGGGGCTAGGAGAGTCCCCAGTGCGGGCAGGAGCTGCCCTTGACCGGCCAGGTTCAGGGGTCCATGTGGGGTAGGAGTTGGGGGGAGTCTGCGGAAAGCTGACCTGCCTCCAAATCTCATCCATCCTATGCTTTACCACCGAATCACATGGCTCAGGGCAGCCATGCCAAGATGAACCCAAAAACCAAGCACACAGAGAAATGAGAATCTGATCTGTTTTCCGATTTAAGGGGGTCATTTCACAATCGACAAGTGACCCCGAAAGCCCTCAAGTTCAAGAAAGCTGCTTATTGTGATTCCTAAAAAAGTAACTTCGAGTTACGGACGGTTATAGCTGAAAGAGACTTCAAAAATCCTTCTGTTCAAATGCCCAATATAAAAATGTACAATTTTTTTTATTTTTATCAAAGTTATACCTAATTTTTAAAAAATTAATTAATTAATTTTTGGCTGCTTTGGGTCTATGTCGCTGCGTGCGGGCTTTCTCTTGTTGCGGTACGCGGGGGCTGCTCTTCGTTGCGGTGCGCAGGCTTCTCATTGCGGTGGCTTCTGTTGTTGCGGAGCATAGGCTCTAGGCACACGGGCTTCAGTAGTTGTGGCACGCGGGCTCAGTAGTTGTGGCTCGTGGGCTCTAGAGCGCAGGTTCCGTAGTTGTGGCACACGGGCTTAGTTGCTCCACGGCATGTGGGATCTTCCCGGACCAGGGCTCGAACCCATGTCTCCTGCATTGGCAGGCGGATTCTTAACCACTGAGCCACCAGGGAAGTCCAAAGTTATACCTAATTTAAAGAGCCTAATATGTCTATGAAGCTTGTTACTAGAAAGAGTCCCTCTCCCTTTTTTCTTTCCCCAGGGGCAAAAATTTTCAACTTCTCAGTCCGTTATTTTGGTATTTATCTTTTATCTTTTAAATACGGAGCTTGTAGCAACTTCTTGATTTTTCAGTTTTAGGCACTATCTACTGGTTTCCTTCTGTAGATGGCAATGATATTCCTCTGTCACGTCCCCCTGGCCACCCCATTCCCTCTCCTCCCGGGAGATGGTAATGGTTTTGGTGAGATCACCCAGCAATGTTCACATTATGATGCCTCTGTAAGTCCCTTGACAGCAGCATCATCTAATCTCTTAGGCTTACTTTTCCTTTCTTGCCCAATCTTCCATGCAGTTCATTATTGTCTTGGTTTTTTTTTTTTATTTCATTGATTTTCTATGGACTTATCACCAACCCAACACCAAACTCTCTGCCCATTGTCTAAATCTCTTCTTAAGGTGTTCAGACATACCGGGAATTCTGGACTTTCCATTTCTTTGACCAGTTCTGGTCTGAGCTGTGCGTCCTSTCAGACTGCTGCTTGGTTGTTATCTGGGACCTCCTGTCCCAGCATCCTGGAGATTCCCTCTGCAGGGAATCTCCCCTGTTGGAGCTCCTGTTTCCTCTGTTCCATGTTTCTCTTTCTCTGTTTACTCCCCTTGTTTGCTGAAACACATCTCCAATGTCTTCATGAGAAATACTACCTGGGTAGTAGATTTGTTTTGACATCTTACATGTCTGAAAGTACTTTTATTTAATCTTTACACATAATTGATAGCTTGGCTGGGTAAAGACTTACCAGTTGGAAATCATTTCCTTCCGAATATTAAAGACATCACTTATTTGTTGTCTAGTTTTCCAGTGTTGCTGTTAAGTTTTAAGCCATTCTACTTCTTGATCCTTTGTATGAAGTCTGGAAGCTTGTGGAAACTTCCTCTTGTTCCCAGTGCTCTGATGCTTTGGGAGCACGTGCCTTCGTATGGGCTTATTTTATCCACATTGTTGGGCACCTGATGGCCCCTTTCAGCTTAAGGCCTGCAGTTTTGAAAATTTTTATTCAATTTTTCCTTTCATGATGTTCTGTCTCCCACCCCACTTCTGAAACTCCTGCTTTTTTTTTTTTTTTTGGCCACGTGGTTTGTGGGATCTTAGTTCCCTGACCAGGGATTGAACCGGAGTCCTCAGCAGTAACAGTTCAGAGTCCTAACCACTGGACGACCAGGGAATTCCCTGAAACTCCTATTGTGTGCATGTTGGACCTTTTGGACTAGTCCTCCAAGATCTTATTTTTTTTTCTCCTATTTTCCTCACATCTTTGTCTTTTGTTTTACTTTCTGGAACATTTCACTCAACTTTATTTTCTGCCTTTCTATTTTCATTTCTGCATAATTTTAGCTTTCAAGAGCTATTTGTTGTTTTTTTTGTTTCATTCCTCTTTTGATGACAATCTTCTCCTCCCTGCTATGATTGATAGCTTCCCTCCCACTCCTTGCATGGTCTCTGCTTCCTCCAAGTTGCTTTTGCTCCCATGTTTGTTTAAGTTTCTTTCACATCAAAGTTTTCTTCAAATATCTGGGGGACTTGGTTGTGGTGTGTAGAAGCTATGCTTGTGGGGGAGCTGGTAGATTATAGCTTTACTATAGTGGTCTTTGGGGACCCCCCCCCTCCAATGTTAGCATCTTCAGGTTTTTCCTTTGGGGATTGTCAGATGACCTAGAGAAGGTCTTCCCCTGTCCTGCTTGACTTTCTGGGAGCTGAGGGAGGGAAGAGGCTGGCAGTGGGGCAACATCAAACATGTGAAGTTTTACTAACCCCCTCTGCTCTCAATTGTTCTTGGTGTTCTCCAGTCCCTATGCTTTTTGTTTCCCCAGAGAATAGACCTTCCAGAGGCTAAGTCTTCAGTCCTTCGGTGGGAGTGAAGAAAGGGTCTTGGGATCTAGCTATTACTACTTCAATAGACTTTCAGCCAATGGCATTGTTTTAGTCATATTTTAACCCCCATTTCCAGGGGCACAGGGTAGTAGTGGTGGGTGGTCTGAGATGTAAACCAGGTTACTTTCTTTACTCCTAATTGAGAATTCAGATTTCTTAGTTATAACTCCTCCAGCTTCCAACATTTTGTTGCAACTGTATCCTTTCACTTAAAAAAACAAAGCCAAAAAACCTTATGGGCTTATGCCTTAAAAGAAAATAATTTTTTTGTGTGTGTGATACACGGGCCTCTCACTGTTGTGGCCTCTCCCGTTGTGGAGCACAGGCTCCGGACGCGCAGACTCAGCGGCCATGGCTCACGGGCCCAGCCACTCCGCGGCATGTGGGATCCTCCCGGACCAGGGCACGAACCCGTGTCCCCTGCATCGGCAGGCGGACTCTCAACCACTGCGCCACCAGGGAAGCCCAAAGAAAATAATTTTATTGCTCTTTTAGTGGGGTTTGAGATAGAACAGAACAAATGTATGTGTTTCATCCACCACCTTTCATGGGAAGTTTCTTTTTAAAGTCACAAATAATGCATGTTTACTGTAGAAAAACTAGAAAATAAAGAAGAAAATATAATCATAATAATAATGCCTTTACTCCAGGAGGACCAGTGTTAATATTGTAGAGGTAGATCCTTCCATTTTTTCACATATATCAATTATATATAAATATATTATGCATATATACAATGATTAGGAATCAGTAAACATGTTTTTTAACTAGTTTCCTCACCAATATATTATGAACACCTTTCCAAGTCACTAAATATATTTCTAAAATTATTTTAATGGTTTATAATACTTCACCAAATATCTCATAATGCAGTATATTTTGGTCCATTTCTGTATTATTGGACATTTCAGTTTTGTTTACCAATTTTTTAGGATCATAATAATAAAAACTCTAACAAGTCCATTCCCAAAGTTTTCTGTAATCCTTATTTCCTTAGGTGAAATTTCTAGAATGGCTGCACCAAAAGTGTACTCATTGTAATTCTGTTAATTCTCATTACCCAGGTTTCCCTACGAAAGAGGACACGCATTTCGTCATCAATATAGCAGAGGCTGGTTTCTTTGCCTTTGCCGACACAGGTATTAGATTTTAAAACACCTCCCAGCCAGGGGCCCAAATGGTGTATTACTGGTGTTTTGATTTGTGTTTGGATTTGTGTTTGGATTACTGCTGAGGCCCAGCATCTCTTCCTATTCACTGGCGGTGTATATTTCTTCTTTTCTGGATGGACCTCACAGTGGGTTTGAGGTTTACAGTTACACTCAGATGTGCAGAAATGTAACTTTCTTAATTTTTTATAAGTAAGCTTCACTTGTTCCTGGGCGCCCCCATTTCCACTCAGCAGAAACGAACCAACTTTTGATTCAAAGTAACTCACTGCTCAGTCACCTCTAGGTGAAGGCATCTTGCCTTCTGGTCTTCTCTCTTATCCCTTTGTGGGAAGGCTGCTTGGTCCCTTTACTACTCTCAGGCAGCCTCTGTACCTACTGCTGGTGTCCCCTGCTCTCCAGACCCCTCCCCAAGCTGAAGCAGGAGCTGCAGAAGCCCATGAGGTTTGGGTACAATAATAGTCTTTAGATGCAGACAGGGGACAGGTCTCTGGGCCACATGGGAGGACAACTCAGAAGGAGGGCTCTTTCTGCCACCACTTCTATCCTACTGATATCATCCCCCCACTCCTCCAGGTAGCTACCAAGGTTCCAGGTGGAAAACATAGAGAAGACCCTCTGCTCCCCACCTTATCTGGTAGCGAGGGAAATTCATCTGTCTCCCTTGCTTGATCTCCTTTCTAATCGCTCGTTTCTCCTAAGAGAATTTAATTGCCTTTGGAGTGGAAAAACTGCTCTCACCTCCTGTCCAGCATCCTTCCAACTCTGTTTTCTTGGCCCTCCAGGCTTTGATCTTTTTTTTTTTTTTTTTTGGTGGCATTTAAAAAGAGAGCTGTTTCTCTCTCAAATCAAAAATGCTCTATTGTTCCATGGAAGTCTTTAAAATCTCCTTTTTGAAAGTTAACTCTGAGCAATAACTTTTTTTTCTCTAAGCCAGTGGTTCTCACCCCTGGGTGCTCATATACTCATTAGGATCACCCCAGAGCTTTTAAAAATCCTGATGCCTAGGCAGCACCCCAGAATTCAGAACACCTGGAGGGGTGTCCCAGGCATCTGTATACTTTTAAAGCCCCCCAGGTGACTCCAGGGTAGAATCAGGACAGAGAATAGCTCTTCCAGGCTGTGACTGCCCTCCCCATCCCTGGGGCAATGGATTTGACCTCCCCGTCCTTGAAGGGAGAAGGGCTCCAGGCACCTGGGTGACAGAGCTGGGCTCTGCCACTGAGGACATGAAGGGTTGCCAACTCCTGGGGCTCACACCTTTATCTGGGGGGACTGGAGGCAGAAGAGGCCCTCAGCTGGGTGTGGAGTCCTCCTCAGCTGGGTTGACAGGCCTGAGACTGAGGCTCTGTAGATGCATCCCCACAGGGGCCGGAGAGGACACCTCTGCCCCCCAGGCAGGAGGTGGAACAGGTTCTGGTTAACTCAGCCTCAGCCAGTGCCTGAACGAAAGGGTTTCCTTGTTGCTAGAGCCTGTCAAGGACCGATATGTTACAACATATGTTTTACAGCTTCCTGGGGTCTCTGATAAAGCTTTCGAGACTCCTTTATTTGCCTTTTTCCCCCCAAGGTTACGAAGCCAACTGTTTCCCTCTGCTTGCAGATGCTCTGAGGCTGAGAGCTCATTTCCGTGGGAAATTAGCCTCCGAGGAGGGAAGCTTCTGGGGGCAGCTGGTGTCGCTCTCACAGGATGAGGTTGCAGGCAGTCGTTGGGGTGGGATGACCCCCTCCCTGGCCATGATTTTCTGCATATATGCTCGGAACCCAGGAGAGAAGGGTCTCACAAGAGCGAACCACCCCCTACCCCACAAAGCTTGGTACAAACTACTGTGTTCTTTCCTTCCCAGCTGCGAATTTCTGCTTTTTCTGTGTAAGGCATTTCAATTAGGCGCATACCCTGCCCTCAAGACACTGGCCAGGTAGCCGGGGAGATAACATGTAATGATACTAGCTACCATTATTTCCAGCATTTACTCCATGCCAAGCACAGGTGATAGAGATAATAATTGTGCTAAAAAAGCCTCCAACTTATTGAGCCCCTAATGTGGGCAGGCCCTTTAGAACACTCTGTACTCCTCACTGGAACTGAATATATCACTTCTTGCTACTGGAAGGGTGGTCCTGAACCAGTAGCAATGGCATCACCTGAGACCCCGTTAGAAATATGGAATATCAGGCTAATCCCAGACCCACTGAATCTGAATCTGCATTCTAACAAGATGCCCAAGGGGTTTCTGGACAGATTGCTACCCCTACTTTACAGATGAGGAATCAGAGGCTCAGTGGGAATTGAGTGACTTGAAGAAGGCCACAGGGTAACCAGAAGCTAAGTAGGGATATAAACCTGCTTCACAGGACTCAAGTGATATGGGTAAAGGCTAGACTACAGCACAGCTGGGAAGCTGAGTGCTGGAGAAAGAGCACTCCCTAGATTTCAGATGGAGGAACAGCCAGAAGGGCTTCCTGGAAGAGGGGGCATTTGAATCAGACCTAGAAAGGTGAGCAGGACCTGCCAAGAAGGGGGCTAGTCTATCTGAGGTGGCGGAAACAGCAGGAGCACAGACAGGTTGGTAGAAGAGTGAGTATCATTCGCCAGAACCTTCCCTTGGTGGCTGCTGGTACGTTAATTAAACATGAGTCCACCAGATCGGGGTGGTCCCAGTCTGGCAACCACCTTGGCCTATATACCTTGGCAGCATATATAAGTAAACCAGACTGAAGCCTGTATGTGCCTCAAGGTTGGGAAATAAAAACCTGAGGGCAACCAATCACAAACAGCCGACCAGGCTTTCCCAAACCAGACAACCACTTAAACTATAGCCAAGTCGTTTTCTTGCTTTGCTTCTGTGTCTTTTCCAAAAAGTCTTGCCTCTAGCTCCTGTTGGGTGTACACTCCTAACCACTTCCAGTTTGAGACTGTCAGGTTTGAATTGATTTTTGCTCCAATAAACTCTTAAAAATTTAAATACATCTCAATTTATCTTTTGACACTGTGATCTTCTATGTTCAGAAGCAACAAAGCGTTTGAGGCGGGATGGCGGTGATTCAGGAAAACTTTGTTTTCCCCTTGATCTGTGGCTGCCGGAGGGCGCCGCCACACAGCTTCTGCCTGGGCTGCAGGATGCTGAGATGGACCTGCCTTGAGATGTTCCTGGCCCTTGGTCCCTGCTTTTTGGGTCTAGTGACCCCTTTCCTCCCCTGATTTCCTGCTGTAGTATGCTCCCTCAATGGCCCACGCTCAGAGAAGGGCTCACAGAGCCCCTGGCCCTTGGACACAGAACCCCTCTTCTGGGCAATAACCAATGGTCCAACTGGAGCCCGTGTTGTAACCTTGTCTCCTGAGCCTGTTCTCACTTCCAGGTCTCTCCACTCAGCCCAGAATTTGCCCTTGACTTTCCCCTGACTGTCACATCCTTCTTATCCCGACTCAAGGTCACCATCTTGGAAAGCACTCCCTGATCTCCCCAGGCTGGGCTGGGCACTCCTGCTTTGTGCTTCCACAGCCCCTATCCCGCCCGCTCTGCTCAGTGGTGCCTGTCACATCACACTGCAAGTGTCCACTCTGCCTCCTCATGAGGCTCTGGCCCCTGCTCAGTGGCAGGTTCTGGGTCTTTCTCCTGTGCTCCCAGCATCTGGGGGAGCAGCTGACATAGGAAGTGCTGGGTGAGTAACTGTTAGACGAGCGAGGGTAGGTTTCTCTGCCTCTAGGGTCCGGGCATGGAGCGCTGATGGGAGCAGCAACGTGGCCGCTTCCATCCGGGTAGCTGTTCCTCTCGGGATACTCTCCTCCCAGCCTCTTCATTGTCTCGCCTTTGGCTTTAAGGCTTGTGAGACCATCCAGGATAATTAAGAGAAAGAAGTTTTATGGGGCTTCGATCAAAGATTTTAATTAACCTGCTTTAAGCCTTTGAATGTTCAGTCCCCAGGGCTGACCATTTGATAATGGAATTAATGCTTCTAGGCAGAGTGGGGGGAGGGGGAGGCTTCAACAAGGAGGGCCTAGTGATGGTCTCATTAACTCTTCCCAAGACAGATAGATTTCAGCTCAACATAAGCGATTGATCTCAGGTGCTTCTCATCATGAGCCCTTCCGAGTCGCTTGTGGTTTTAACATATGTGCGTATATTAACTTGACTTTAAAATGTATGTTAAACAAGTGAACTAATGGCGTTTCCTTTCCTCTCCCACAGAAATCACCTACCAGAGGGCGGAAAGCCAGACTCCAGTTGGCTAAGCTAAGCGTGAACCTGGTAAGGGTGCCCTCAGCTCCCCATTTGGGTGGCCTAGATTTTGAAAGAAACCCCTGTGTATCCCAATTATGCCTAAATGCCTTCAATTCTTTGGAGAAAAAACAGCAACATTTCTATAGGAAGCCGTTTCTGGGAGAGTTGTGTGACGGGTATAACACACCAGGTTGGACAAGGGGACCCCTTCCAGGCCTGCACATGGGGAGGGCGAGGGTGGCCCAGGAGGGGGCCTTGGAGAGGAATGCTGAAGAGAGCAAGGTTCCTGAGGCAGGGGAGGGCTGGCATCCACCGCAGATGCATGAGAGATGTGCCCAGGCATCTCCTTCCACATCCAGAAATTGGGTGCAAGGCCTGAAGTTTCCCTACACCTTCCAGAAGTTCAGATGAAGAAAAAGCACAGGTTCTCTGCTATAAAGATAGGACACATTTAGAAACTGATTAAGCAATGAAGGGGAACAAGGGCTGGAGTTATTTGGGACAGTACTTATTATAATGCACACGTTATTAATGTGTGGGTTCTGAGAGCTCCCTCCCAGAGCTGACATACTCCTTGGCTAAGGGGACTTCAGAGACCCCGGGGTTCTAATCAGGGTCCCCAATACCCTGACTCTGATCTCACCCCAACCAGGAACATAACTGAGTCTTTTCTCTGGTCACAGAATGAGCCACAGGCTGAGCCCTGACCTTGGCCGTATACTTATCCCTAATCCTTACCACGTGCTGACCTCAGCCCGTGACCTCAGCCTCAATCCTGACTGCGGTCACTGATTAAGCCCTGACTTCACAGACTAACGCTTGTCTGTGACCCTTCTTAAGGCACAGCCCCAGACAGAATCGCAGCTCAGCCGCTGGCTCTCACATCAAGGGGGATGAATGGGGGGACGCGATGGAGCTGGGCAGGTGTCCTCCTCCCTCACCACTGGAGGCTCAGATGAGAGCTCCCAGCCCCCCTGGTGGCCCCTAGGTCGGGGCAGGTGGAGGGCTCAGGAACTTAGGGGCTGTGTGGGGTTTTCCAGGCTCTGTCCTGGCTTCACATGCAAGGCTGATTAACATGCACCATGCTTCCCTCCATCCCCAAGTGCCTTCACCACATCATTGCTTCACTGATTAATTCCTCAGAACAAAGCACCCGGCACTTATGTGCAGATTGAATGGAAGATCCCAGAGGCCTTTCCCAGTGCCGGCTGCCCAGTCCTTTCCCGAGCGCTTGCTCTGTTGAAGTGTCTAAGGAGCCAGGAGGCCTTAACTGGACCAGAAAACAGCGTTCTGCCTCCAGGATGCAGGGTTTGCTGGTTCCTGGGAGATAGTTCCACCCTAGAGCCAGCTTAAGAGAGTGACATTTGACATTCTGAGTAACTGATGTATTGGGTTAAAATCTGTCAGTACGTGAACGTGGTCCTTCTTTACAAACACAAGATAAATGTAGAAGTTATCCTACCACCAACATGACTGTCATTATCATCCCCAGCACCATCATCCCCATCATCATCATTATCATTATATCATCATCATGGCTCTCTATGGGAGATGCTTTACCTGCATTATTTAATCTTTAAATACCAGGAGTAACTGTTTAAATATTAAAGAGTAAATTTGATACCTCTCTTGTTGAGTATCACTACAACAAGAGAGGCCATGGCACTCCATTGAGTTCAAGACCAGGAAAGCAAATTCCTCAGTGAATTTGTAGGTTTCCCATTACCAGCCTCAGAAGCATGTGAAATCCATATAATTTTCCTTGTTTCCTTGGCTGCAAGGAAATTCCAGAATTTCTTTCGGTTGCTGAAGCTTTCCTCAGCTGGAAGTTTCTCCATATACCTTTCCTCTACCCATCTACCTTTATTTTTGGGTCCCCTCCTCCCAGTCTCCAAATCTTGCGTTTATGGCATCTGAATCTACACTACAAATGTGTGTGTATAAACACACTGTGTCAAATATCATTCTAAAGTCAATGTGTACATCATGTTTGGGTTTCTCTTCCAGTGTTATGGAGTAGGTGCCTAACAGACTGACCCTCCTTTGGATAATAATTATAAAGTACAGATAAAATATAAAAATCCTGTAGGCTCTGAGGAATGAACAAAAGCAGGCAGATTCTGTATGGTTTTTGAAACTTGGAAGGGACAGGCATGTGGTGAGTTTCCCATTTTCATGACTTTTAATCTGAGGGAAACTGTAGCCATGATACAGCATAAAGCAGTGAAAACTCTGACTGAAAACCATTTATGCAACTGGAGGAACAGGACAGAGCCAGAGGACAGCTGCTGGAAAGTGAGGGAAGAATTCTAGAAAGGAGAAAATCAGAGAGGGGAGCCCCAATTCTGTAAATACATTCTGCTCCAAGTCTCTGGCTGATGAGAGTAGCTTGCAGCTAAGGCTAAAAGAACTGAGATGAAATTTGATCTGTCCACTGCGCATTAGACAGTTTGTGGTTTGAGTCTAACCTAGTTAGATGCCTGTTAAACAGACACTAACACTTTTCACACATTTCAGAGTCATATGAAGTACACAGAGTCTTCAGCACATAACCTGCAGAATTCAGATACAATGCAAAATTATTTGACATATGAAGAGCCAGGAAAATGGAACCAATGCCTTTATTTGGAATTACCAAATAAATTTGGCAATTTAATAAAATAGTTGCTTTAATAAAAATTAAAGCAGCTTTTACAGTCATGGCAAACATGCTTATAATGAATAAAAAAGGAGAAATCTTGGCAGATACATAGAAGCTACAAAAAAGAACCAAAGGCAAATTCTAGAACCAAGAAGTAAATATCTAAAATAAAAAATTCACTGGGTGGGCTTCACAGTGGAGTAGAGGGGACAGAAGAGTGAGTGACCTTGAAGACAGATAAATAGAAATGATTCAGTCTGAAGAAGGGAGAGAAAGAAGATTGGGGAAAAAAGAACAGACCTTCAGGGATGGATGAGGGCGATATCAAAATCTCTAACGTACAAATAACTGGCATCCTGGAAGTGGAAGAGGGAAAAAAATGGGATAAAAACTATTTGAAGAAATCATGGCCCAAACTTCCCCAAATTTGGTGTAAAGACATACAGATTCATGAATTTCAGCAAGTCCAAATCAGAATAAATAAGAAACGAACCATGCCTAGGCATATTGGAATTTAACTGCTAACAACAAGGAATCAACCAAAAGGGGTTTTACTACAAAGGAGTGTTTTTTTAATTCAAGATTTATTGAGCATATACTGTGTATCAGGCACAGTTTGGGTGCTGTGAGCATAACCTAGGGCTGGAATCTTCTTTAGGGAAGGAAAGGGTAGTACTGGAATTGGCCTGAGATTGAGTTTTGTTCAGTAAAACCAAATTGACATGAAGAATACAAGTAGAGCACACCCAGAGTCCAGGACATAGAGGCAATTGAAGAACACCGGATGGTGTTGAACTGCGTAGTTTAGAAAAAGAGCATCACGGACTTTTGGGGGAAGGGATTGAAATCTCATGGTGGAAGAGACTTTTTTTTTTTTTCCCGGTACGCGGATCTCTCACTGTTGTGGCCTCTCCCGTTGCGGAGCACAGGCTCCAGACGCGCAGGCTCAGCGGCCATAGTTCACGGGCCCAGCCACTCCGCGGCATGTGGGATCTTCGCGGACCGGGGCACGAACCCGTGTCCCCTGCATCGGCAGGCAGACTCTCAACCGCTGTGCCACCAGGGAAGCTCAGTGGAAGAGACTTTAAAAGACCAAAAACTCAGGAGATGAGAACCGGGGGCCGGGGGCATGCGTTAGCATTCAACACAAGTAACGATTTTCTTTTCCTCTTAAAGGCTTGAGTCTACCTAGTGGGGAACATAGCCCTGGAGAAGGAGGCCTCAGGGAATCTGCTAACACTGAGATGAAAACTAAGAATTGGTGTCCTGGGGCTTGGTGTTAGTAACGTCTTAGGTGAAGAAGGATGGATTTCTGGTTCTGCAGAACGTGGGTGATGCTTGCCACTCTGTGTGTGTGCATGTGTGTCCAGATGCAGGGCGCTGGGGCGTGTGGATCAGCAGTCTCGGCTCGTTCTTTCATCTCTTCACTATTTTTTGAGCCTCGAGGATGCGCGGGAGCTGACAACGCAGGGATGAGCAAGGCAGACGAGGCTCCAGCCTCCTCTAGGGTCTGCCGGGAGAGACAGAAAACCTGCAAGAAAACACAGCCCTATGACAAGGACGTAGGTGCTGGTGGTTTACATGGGAGACCACCTCGAGAGGCAGTTAGGAGGTGGGGAAATTGAGGCAGGGTAGAGAAGAAAGCTGACAACCTGTGTTAATGAAGGGGTACTGCTGGGGGCACCTGGAACTCCATCAGGCGGGGATGCTCCCAGCACGGTGACGTCCCAGGTGGAGATGGGAGCTGGGGAGTCACCTGCTTGCTTCCTTCTCTCACTGGTTGAGGTCTTTCTTCAGGGGAGTTAAGTTCTCCAGCTCCCACGTGGTGTCTGGTGCAGCTGGGGTGGAGGACCCCTCAGGCTGAGAAGCAGGGAGCCTCGCAGAGGGGCTGGACCTGTCCTCCGCTGCTGAAGGTGATCTGGAGGTGGGGGGCAAGAGCCCACTACCCGGCCACCCACGGCCAGGACTTTGGTTGTTCTTTTAAAGTGCAAAGGGAGCCACGGAAGCTTTTAAACAGAAGAGTGAAATGACCTGAGTTAATGGTAAAATTCGAGCGAGGCGCAAACTCCCGGAGAAGGTGAGGGAGGATGGAATCCAGGCACACTGGCCCCTGAGAGGAGCAGAGACATTCTTCATTGAGGCAGGAATGAGGGTCTGAGCGTGGGGACCCGGCGAGGGAGGGAGTTTCTGTTGATGGTTACCTTTTTGTCCTCCGTGAAGAGTGAGGTGCCCTCCTGGGCTGAAATGGGGGCGGGAGGAGGTTGCAGGGGAGAAAATGTAGAGGACCATTTTCTGCAGGGCTCACCTCCCCGTCTCTTCTCCTGTTTGAATTTTGTCAGCGGCGTGAATCTAAATTGTAACTAATCAGTTCATTTAATGTGATTTG